TCTGCCACATGCCAGGCCTCGTGTGCTAAGCATTCTCTCCATGGATCTCTACATGGATCTTCAGTACAAACCAGGAAGAGGGAGACTCCTTAGTCTCGTTTTCCAGATGCAGAAACTGAGGCTCAAGGAGGAGTGACTTACCATGGGTCCTCCAGAGAGCAAGTGGCAATGCGTGGCCAGCAGATCCTCAGCATTGTCACCCTTGCTTCCCTAAATGAATTGGCACAACTCTCAGGCAATGTGAAGAAATGAAGAAACTCTCCCCTCACCCTCAAGCTTTGTACAGAGTCCCCCTCTGACTAGAACACCCTACCCTTTCATCTGAAACCTCTTCTTTCAGGGCTTATCCAGGAAGCCATTCTTGTACCCCTAGACTGCATCAGGAGCAGGGTGCATTCTTGCACCCCTAGACTGTCCGTGTCCCCAGGACCCCTTGTTTTCTCCATCATGGCTGGGTCTCTGCTTCACTTGCCCCTCACTGGCTTGGTCACTCTGGGCTGTCACTGGTGTGTCTCCTTCATGGACTTATGCAATCAATAAGCTAGGTCTAAAGCCTAGAAAATTGTTGAGTTGTCCAGCTGTGGTGGCTCACGCCTGCCATCCCAACACTTTAGGAGGCCGAGGCAGATGGATCACTTGAGGTCAGGAGTTCGAGACCAGCCTAGCAAACGTGGTGAAACCCAGTCTTTATCAAAAATACAAAAATTAGCAAGGCGTGGTGGCACGTGCCTATCGTCCCAGCTACTTGGGGGGCTAAGGCAGAAGAACCACTTGAACCTGGGAGGCAGAGGCTGCAGTGAGCAGAGATTGCACTACTGTACTACAGCACTCCAGCCTGGGTGACAGAGTGAGAATCTGTCTCAAAACAAAACAAAATAATGGCTGGGTGCAGTGGCTCATGCCTGTAATCCCAGCACTTTGGGAGGCCAAGACGGGCAGATCACCTGAAGTCAGGAGTTCAAGACCAGCCTAGCCAACATAGTGAAACCCCATCTCTACTAAAAATACAAAAAATTAGCTGGGCGGGGTGGTGGGTGCCTGTAATCCCAGCTACTTGGGAGGCTGAGGCAGGAGAATCGCTTGAACCCATGAGGCACAGGTTGCAGTGAGTCAACATTGTGCCATTGCACTCCAGCCTGGTCAATGAGTGAAATGCCACCTCAAAATAAATAAATTAATTAAAATAAATTTTAAAAACAGAGCTTGAATTGCTTCTTAGCCTTTTGGCTAACAATCAAGTGTAGAACAGAGCTTGGCCAATGTGCTGGGGTAGGGTCCTGGGAGCCCCTGGCTGTGTCAAGAGACCCCCTTTGGGCTGGGCAAGGTGGCTCACACCTGAAATCACTGCACTTTGGGAGGCAGAGGCGGGTGGATCACTTGAGGTCAGGAGTTCAAGACCAGCCTGGCCAACATGGTGAAACCCCATCTCTACCAAAAATACAAAAATTAGCTGGGTGTGGTAGCGCATGCCAATAGTACCAGCTACTTGAGAGGCTGAGGCAGGAGAATTGCTTGAACCTGGGAGGTGGAGGTTCCAGTGAGCCATGATCTCGCCACTGCACTTCAGCCTGGGCTTCAAGAGCGAAACTCCATCTCAAAAAAAAAAAATTCCCACCTTTTACTTTCCAGACTGTGGGAAGGAGGAGTGTTGTACCAGGCATTCACTAGGAGCTATTATTTTGCTATTATTAACAAACTAGAATTTTAGTGCCTGCTACACCTGAATAGTGCTTCTGGCTGAATGTTAGCCCTGGGAGTCTGAAGATCAGAGAGGTGAGGTGTCCTGCCTGAGGATGCACAGCCTAGATCCTCATTTTGCCCTGATCTATCCAGATCTGGTGTCTTCCCTGTACCCTATAGAGCAGGGCAATCACAGCAGGGGGGCCCTTCTGTGTCCTCAGACAGCTGCTGTGATTTGAATAACCAGGCAGGCTGCTGGTTGTGCCCTGGTGACTGATTTGCCTGGCAAACAGACCCTCAACCCCTGGGAGACACTCGGCCCCCCCTGGGGCCATGCTTCCTCTCTCCATCCCCAAGAGCTCCCCAGGCCTGGTCTCCCCTTTCCTGGCCCTGCTTGGTGGTCCTAGTGCTTGTTCACCTCTAAAAACTGGACAGTTCCCTCTGAAACCTGGGAGAAGACTGCAGGTCCCCAGGCAGGGGTAACCCAAGCCAACTTAGTCTGCTCCCAGGGCCAGTCAGGAAATTTGCATGAAGAGAATGAGGCTCCTCTGAGGCTTCCCCTCCTTTCCTACCAGGGATAGTCATCCTGGGGCTGAGGTCTGACAGCAGGTAGAAGAGGCAGCCCCTGCGCGTGGAGAGCCTTCCTGAGGGGATGCCCCGTGCCTTCCTGGTCAGGAGTCGGCGTCCACAGCCACCCAACTGGGGCCACCTGCCTGACCAGCTCCGGGGAGATGCCTATATCCCAGGTGGGTCCCTCACCGTCCCTGGAGGTAAGGAGCAGGGGAGATGCAAAGCATCACCATTCAGCTTCTCTCCTCAGATTGCAGCAGCCTGGGGGGGCCACTGGCGCAAGAGTCATCCAGTGTCAGGGATCCATGGGCAGCGGTGAGTGTGGAGCTGGCCACAAAGCCAGCTGTTTCACCCCTGCCTGCTCTCAGCCTTAATGAAGCTGATGGCCTCTTCCTCCCCAGTCCCATCTGCACAAGCCCTCATGCCTCAGGACCTGTCCGCCTCTGCTTCTCTCTGTTGGGAATGCCTCTCCTTTCCTAGTATTGAGCTCTCTACTGTTAGGTCCCACCCTAGGCAACTAACAGGGTGGGCAGCCACAGGGATCTCTCTGTCCAGCAGGGCAGAACAAGATTCAGCCCCACATGTGGATGATCTGCCTTATGTCAGAACATGGCAGAAGGTGACAAAAGTGTGATGGGAGATAAGGGCTATTTCAGCTGTGCACACATTAGAGGAAGGAAAGCGCCAGCTGGAATGTTAGTGTATGTTCACAAGAGCCAGGCACTATTCCAAACATGGGGTTTTATGTTCAGCAGGAATAAGACAAAAATTCACAAATGATGGAGTTTGTATTTTGGTGGGGGCTGCAGGTACAGACAATAAAATTAGCCAGGTGTGGTGGCTCACACCTGTAATCCCAGCACTTTGGGAGGCCAAGGCAGGCGGATCACTTGGGGTCAGGAGTTCGAGACCAGCCTGGCCGTGCTGTAATTTTAGTCTCTACTAAAATTACAAAAAGTAGCCAGGCGTGGTGGCATGTGCCTGTAATCCCAGCTACTTGGGAGGCTGAGGCAGGAGAATCTCTTGAACCTGGGAGGGGGAGGCTGCAGTACACCGAGATTGTGCCACTACACTCCAGCCTGGGCAATAGAGTGAGACTCTGTTCCAAAAAAAAAAAAATACAAAAATTAGCCAGGCGTGATAGCATACACCTGTAACTCCAGCTCCTCAGGAGGCTGAGACAGGAGAATCAATTGAACCTGGAGGCAGGGGTTGCAGTGAGCTGACATTGTGCCACTGCATTCCAGCCTGGGCAACACAGTGAGACTCCATCTCAAAAAAAAAAAAAAAAAGACAATAAAATTAGAAAAGTAGGCCAGGCATAGTGGCTCACGCCTGTAATCCCAGCACTTCACAAGGCCAAGGTGGGTGGATTGCTTGAGGTCAGGAGTTAAGAGACCAGCCTGGCCAACATGGTGAAACCCTATCTTTGTGACAAATACAAAAATTAGCTGGGCATGGTGGTCTATGCCTGTAATCCCAGCTACTGGGGAGGATGAGGCACAAGAATCACTTGCACCGGGGAGGTGGAGGTTGCAGTGAGCTGAGATCGAGATCACAGCACTGACCTCCAGCCTGGGTGACAGAGCAAGACTCAAATAAAAAGTTCATGTCACATTGGAAGATGGGACCTGGCATGGAGAAGGGGGAAGGCCCTAGAGATTGGCAGGTACACCCGCTAATCACTGTCTCCACCTTCCTAAATCCTCTATGGCTCTGGGCACTCGGTACTCATTTGCAGAGTAACGAAGGGTGGGCAGGGTCCAATCATAGGGGCTAACAACTCCCACATCCCTCCAGCAGCCCACACAGGGCAACCTGACCTCTGCTCCCAGGGGCCCAGGGATGCTGGGCTGCCCACTCTGCCCTAAGGCCTTCCCTCTGCAGCGCATGCTGACGCGGCACCTCAAGTGCCACAGTCCTGTGCGCCGCCACCTGTGCCGCTGTTGTGGCAAGGGCTTTCATGACGCCTTCGATCTCAAGCGCCACATGAGGACTCACACTGGTGAGCAGTGATAGGAATAGGAAAAAGCTGCTGGGCCCAAGGCAGGGATGGAAGGAAATGGAGAGAGGTACTGGGATGTGGAGTGTCCAGGGTTTGTGTATGTGGGGCGTGGGGACTCCAGACATAATGTCCCTCGGACCCCAGCAGGTGGGTGTAAGGTGGCACCAAGATAGGGGCATGGCAAGGGACGCAGAGTGCAGACGGATGTGGGTTATATGATTCAGGCTCCAGATCCGAGGGCAAGGGAAGGCCTCTCTGTCCCCCAGGAGAGGGAACATCCTGTGAATGAGGGTGGGGAAACAGGTGTCTGGCCCACGTCTGCACTGGGTGTGGTCAGCATATGGTGGGTCATGGGTGGAAGAATCTGAAGAGCTTAGAATAGGGACTGGAAATGCTCAATGCTGTAAAACAGGTGGGGGTGCTTTAGTCCAGAGCCCATTGCCCTTTCTGTCCAGCCCTCCCCTCTGTGCCCATCTGTGCAGGGATCCGGCCTTTCCGCTGTAGTGCTTGCGGCAAAGCATTTACGCAGCGCTGCTCCCTGGAAGCTCACCTTGCTAAGGTGCATGGGCAGCCAGCCAGCTACGCTTACCGTGAGCGCCGCGAGAAGCTGCACGTGTGCGAGGACTGCGGTTTCACCAGCTCCCGGCCGGAGGCCTACGCACAGCACCGTGCCCTGCATCGCGCAGCCGGATACGTGGTGCCAGTGTCCTCCCCACGAGGCAAATAAATACAGGAAACTCGCACATGGAATCTGGTGTTTATTACACTCGGGGGAGAGGTGAGGTCACTCGGTCCAGCGGTGGCCACAGTGTGGGGCTGTGCACACGTAGTACAGACGCATGGCGTCCTGGCAGAAAGGATGCACGGTTAGCAAGGTTCTGGACCCAGCAGCGCCTCACCCCAGAAGAACAGGCAAGAGAACTTCCCCAATAGATAAGGGTCCGGCCCAGGATTCAAGAAACGCAGGGACACCCATATTGGTATCACCACCCCCGGGAAGGACCAAGCAAGCCCCAGATACTTAGAAAGGCCTCGTGACACTTACCTCGGCCCGGGCACTGTGTGACTGGAAGAACACAGCCTCCTTGTGGCCACACCTGAGGGGGTGGGAGCTAAGTCATTGGGAGCTTGACACCCTTCCCTCCTCCCTTCGCCCAGTGAGGACGAGCCTCACTTTCCCTCCCCAGCACCAGCTGAGCGCTCACTTCTGGCACGGGTGGTCCTCGGTCCGCGGCAACGTGGGGTCCTGGGACACGTCGGCGATAATCTGGGTCAGTTCGCTGCAGGGACGCGGGGGTGCATAATTACGCTCAGACCCGGCCTCCAGAGCCAACACCCCCGCCCCCAGCTCCGGGACCGCCACTCACTCCACTTCGTGCGTGATCTTGTTGACATAGATGCAGCTGTTGTCGGCCTCCTGCTGGTAATCACAGTTCCGGCACTACGAGAGGGCGAGTGTAGGGGAAAGGGAGTCAACGGAGGGATTCCGGATGAGACTGGGAGGGGAGGGCAGGGTGATCCCGGAGGGTATGACGACGGGAAGGAGTCTATGGGGACGGACATGAGAGTCGGGATAACTTGGGGTGCAGCGGGGGGCAAAGAAGGAGTCGGGTCACAGAGGCAGGAAACAGGGCGGGGCCACGCTGGGAACAGGTGGACCAGCCGAGGAAGACTCGGGCGCTCACCGCGTAGAGCAGAATGCGGTTCTCCTTGTCTTCCTTGGGGTATAGCATGTTGTTACTGTGGGGAGGGCGAGGTGCCAAGGGGTCAGTCCTGGAGCCATTCCTCACCCCCTTTCCACATCACCCTCTCCCTCAGCCTCACCATTCCTGGCAAAAGCGAATACCCACGAAGCCCGGCTCGTAGGTCCCGTCGGGCTCCATGGCGACGCGCAGCTGGCCTAACCTTCTGCGCTTGCTCCGCGGCGCTACAGGTCGCCGAAGGGGCCAGGCCTAGGTGCTTCGCCAAAAGAGGGCGGCGCTGCGCATATGAGCTGTGTCTCCCTTTTCTCGGCGCAAAGGTTTCATTGCTTGCTTCAGTCTTTTGATATCCTAGAGTAATTGCTTCCATTTTTTGAGCATCGCTGCCTCAGTTTACAGAATAGTATAGATCTGGCGTCAGAGCTGGGAAAACGACGAGCATCGTAAGCTACATAACGCTGAGCATCCAGGGGAAAAGCCAGAGCTTACTTGACCGAAGGCTAGTGCGCATGCGTGAATTTACCCTGCGCGGACGGAGCGAGTTCTTGCCAGTTCTTCCTCCTGGCTTTAGTCTTCGCCCCCACTTCTGGCAGTTTCCGGGCCGCTATTGGAAGAACCGTGAACTCTGGGAGGCCTCTCGGGATTGGCTGGGGCCGGCCCAGGAGTACTGAGAGCTCGCTTCCTGGCAGTGGGGAAGGGAGGCGGCGATTGGCGGACTCTACCGGCAGGGGAGCGCGGATTGGCCAAGGCCCGGAGCGGGGGGCGGGGCTGCTAGCCCAGCAGCGGCGGCGACTGCGGCTGCGGAGTGGGTGTGAGGCGGCTGGACCGCGCTGCGGGCCCAGGCAGGGCGCGGCAAGATGGAGGTGACGGGGGTGTCGGCGCCCACGGTGACCGTTTTCATCAGCAGCTCCCTCAATACCTTCCGCTCTGAGAAGCGGTACAGCCGCAGCCTCACAATCGCTGAGTTCAAGGTGTGGCCGTGGGGGCAGGTCCGGAGGGGCGGGGCGAAGAAGAAATGGGGGGCTCCCCGGAGAGGTGGTGGGGAGGGGCCGGGGAGCGACGGGGCGGGGCCGGAGGTGATCCCGAGCTGCGGAGGCTGGGGACCGGTTCGCGGCGAGGCGGGGCCGTAGAGAACCCGAGATTGCAGAGACGAGGGGTGGGGCCAGCGAAAAATCCAGTGGTCCAGAGGGCGGGACAGGGAGCGAGGCCAGAGGCGAAGAGCCGGGTCCAGTGGGTCCTGACGGGGGGTTTTTTGGAGGAATGTGGGGATGGTGATTGATGCAAAGGGCGGGGCCCCTGGCCACCTTCTCACCCTGCCCCCTCCTTGCAGTGTAAACTGGAGTTGCTGGTGGGCAGCCCTGCTTCCTGCATGGAATTGGAGTTGTATGGAGTTGACGACAAGTTCTACAGCAAGCTGGATCAAGAGGATGCACTGCTGGGCTCCTACCCTGTAGATGACGGCTGCCGCATCCATGTGAGGACTCCCTACCTGGACACTCCCCCCCCACCCCTCCTCCACCCCCTCGCCACCATTCATTTGGTTATTCAACAAAAATACTTGCTGGGTTTTGCCCTGAGTGATACCCAAGATAGGTCCTGCCCTCCTGGAGCCTCCAGTGCAGTCTGACAAGAGACCCATCACTAGACAGGGACAGCCTAGAGTGGTCTGGGCTGGGATCAGGAAATCCCAGGGGACTGGGGCCACCCAGAAGAGGTGCCTGACTCCACCTGGGAGAATCAGAGAGGGCTTCCTGGAGGAAGGGATGTCTGAGCTGAGACTTGAAGGATGAGGAAAGGGTGAGTTAAGAGAAAGAGGTGGAAAGGAGGGAGCAGGTAGTACAGAGGCCTGGAATGTGAGGTAGGCCACAGTGAGTGACCACGCTGGACAGCTTGGGAGAAACCAGAAGACAGAGGACCTCTCTGTGCATCTGCTCACCATGTCCTTTCTGTCGTTTTTGTTTTTTTGAGACAGAGTCTCACTTTGTTGCCCAGGCTGGAGTGGAGTGCAGTGCCACGATCTGGGCTCACTGCAGCCTTCACCTCCTGGGTTCAAGCCATCCTCTTGCCCCAGCCTCCCGAGTAGCCAGGATTACAGGCGCCCACCTAGCTAATTTTTGTATTTTTAGTAGAAATGGGTTTTCACCATGTTGGCCAGGCTGGTCTGGAACTCCTGACTTCAGGTGATCCACTCACCTTGGCCTCCCAAAGTGCTGGGATTACAGGTGTGAGCCACTGTGACCGCCGTTTTCTGTCCTCATTCCCTCCCTGCCTCACTCAGTCTATAGCAGTTGTGTTGTTCCTTGCACAGCCCAGGTGACCTCTGCCTCTGGATCCTTGGCCTGAATGGTTCTTTTGTCATATGCCTGCTGGGCCCACCTTTCCTTCTGGCCTTTATTTAAAGTGTCACCATTCTAGTGAAGCCTTCATTGGCCTCAGTGTAAATGTTCACCTCACTCCTTTCCCCTTCTTTGCTTTATTTTAGATTTTTGTGTTCAGCACTAATTCTTCTCTGCCACACTCTGGATTTTTCTCATTGGTCTGGTTTACTTACTGTGTCTCCCTGGATTTGAGTGCCCTGAGGGCAGAAATTTTGCTCATTCTTTTTTTTTTTTTTTTTTTTTTTTGAGGCAGAGTTTCACTCTTGTTACCCAGGCCGGAGTGCAATGGCGTGATCTCGGCTCACCGCAACCTCCGCCTCCTGGGTTCAGGCAATTCTCCTGCCTCAGCCTCCTGAGTAGCTGGGATTACAGGCACGCGCCACCATGCCCAGCTAATTTTTTGTATTTTTAGTAGACATGGGGTTTCACCATGTTGACCAGGATGGTCTCGATCTCTTGACCTCGTGATCCACCCGCCTCGACCTCCCAAAGTGCTGGGATTACAGGCTTGAGCCACCGCGCCCGGCCTAATTTTGCTCATTCTAATTTCACTGCTGTGTCCCCAGCACTTGGAACGGTGCCTGGGACAGAGAAGATACTCTGTGAATAGTTTTTTGTTTTCTTTTTTTGAGACAGAATTTCGCTCGTTACCCAGGCTGGAGTGCAGTGGCGCGATCTTGGCTCACCGCAACCTCCGCCTCCTGGGTTCAGGCAATTCTCCTGCCTCAGCCTCCTGAGTAGCTGGGATTACAGGCACGTACCACCATGCCCAGCTAATTTTTTGTATTTTTAGCAGAGACAGGGTTTCACCATGTTGACCAGGATGGTCTCGATCTCTTGGCCTCGTGATCCGCCCGCCTCGGCCTCCCAAAGTGCTGGGATTACAAGCTTGAGCCACTGCGCCTGGCTTTTTTTTTTTTTTTTTGAGACAGAATTTTGTCTTGTGGCCCAGGGCGGAATGCAGTTGTGGGATCTCAGCTCACTGCAACTTCTGCCTCCTGGGTTCAGGTGATTCTCCTGCCTCAGTCTCCCAAGTAGCTGGGATTACAGGCATGCTTAAAATTTTTGTTTTTAGTAGAGATGGGGTTTCACCATGTTGGCCAGGCTGGTCTCAAACTCCTGACCTCAAGTGATCCACCCACCTTGGCCTCCCAAAGTGCTGGGATTACAGGCATGAGCCACCACTCCAAGCTCTTGAATCACTGTAGAATGATGAATTGAATCCATAAAGTAATAGTGCAAGGATAATGTAATTGTCTACATTTTGCAGAAGAGAAAACTTAACTTCGAGGTAGAATTTTTTTTTTTTTTTGAGACGGAGTCTTGCTCCGTCGCCCAGGCTGGAGTGCAATGGTGTGATCTTGGCTTATTGCAACCCCCGCCTCCCAGGTTCAAGTGGTTTTCCTGCCTCAGCCTCCCGAGTAGCTGGGATTACAGCTGTCCACCACTACATCTGGCTAATTTTTGTATTTTTAATATAGATGGGGTTTTACCATGTTAGTCAGGCTGATCTTGAACTCCCGACCTCAGATGATCCACCCGCCTAGGCCTCCCAAAGTGCTGGGATTACAGGCGTGAGCCACTGCACCAGGCCCAGAATTTGCTTTCTTTTTCTTACCTCAGGTTTATATGTACAAATAGCACAGGAGGACCCCAGCCCCATGTAGACAGCAGCTCCGGGGAGGTTGAACCAGTCCTTCTGTCTTCACGTTGGCAGACAGAGATATCTACTCTGAAGCCTTTGTAGGGGCCTGGGCACCTTTGGGAGTCTGAGCTGGAACTGAAGCTGGAGGTGCAGCCTGGGCCTTGGTTTGATCCTTGGCCTTGGCCTCTGGCCAGCACAGCATGAATCCCTTAGCAATGCAGGCATGAGCATGCTTCCCAAGCTTGGGATGGGCAATATAGGCAAGTCAATTGAACTTGCGTCTGACACCCTTTGTGATCTTGGGTTTAACCTCCTTGGGCTTCACGAGGGCCTTGATAGGCTCAGCACCTGCACTCATGGCCCTGGCATTGTTGGCCTGCATCTTTTTTTTTTGGAGATGGAGTTCTGTCACCCAGGCTGGAGTGCAGTGGCACAATCTCGGCTCACTGCAACCTCGACCTCCTGGGTCATGCAGTTCTCCTGCCTCAGCCTCCCCAGTAGCTGGAACTACAGGTGTGTGCCGCTATGCTGGCTAATTTTTGTATTTTTAGTGGAGCCAGGGTTTTGCCATGTTGGTCAGGCTCGTCTCGAACTCCTGACCTCAAGTGACCCACCCGCCTTGGTCCCCCAAAGTGTTGGGATTACAGGCGTAAGCCACCGCACCTGGTCGGCCTGCATCTCCTTTAGGCCCTTCTTGTGTTTCTTGGCAAAGCACATGTTCCTCAGAAACTTGGGGTCCACCCCCTTAAGAGATTCATATCTTTGTGATCGGGGTTTCTTGAAACCATTTCTCTGCCGTTTTGGGGACTGGATGTGTGTGTTGTGGTTCTTGGACTTGGCCACGTCCTCACCTTAAGCCATGGTTCCCAAAGCACCTGGAACTGGAAGAGCCCAGAGTTTACTTTCTTAAGGGTGACTGTCAGTAGCATTTTGACCCCAGTTTGCATGACTCCAGGAGTCATTGTGTCTGGAAAAGGGCTTCTTTTTACTCTCGTTGATTCAGTAACTGTTCATTACCCATCCGTGTTATTCCCAGGGGGATAGTTATGACTGTATCTGAGAAGGTCCAGAGTATGAGGTAGATGTTGGCTAAATGACTAGAGGACTGAATGTGAAGGCTCAGTGGAGACAGGCTGTGTAGGAGATCATGGAGCTGGGAGACCCTATCCTGCAGTACCTGAAGCATCAGTGAGGTCTGGGAGGACATCCTGGAGGTGGTGCTGCCAGAGCAGAGACACGAAGAATAAAAAGAATTGCCGTACCCCAAAACCTATAATCCAATAAAAAAATTAAAAAAAAAAAAAAAAAAAAAAGAATTGCCCCTCAGGCCGGGCACAGTGGTTCATGCCTGTCATCCCAGTGCTTTGGGAGGCTGAGGTGGGCAGATCACCTGAGGTCAGGAGTTTAAGACCAGCCTGGCCAACATGTGAAACCTCATCTCTACTAAAAATACAAAAATTAGCTGAGCATGGTGGCAGGCGCCTGTAATCCCAGCTACTCAGGAGGCTGAGGCAGGAGGATCACTTGAACCCAGGAGGCAGAGGTTGCAGTGAGCCCAGATGGCGCCACTGTACTTCAGTCTGGGTGATAGAGTGAGATCCTGTCTAATAAAAAAGAAAAAAGAGTTAACTGAAGAGGGGGAAAGGGTACTCCCGGAGTGGGGCACAGAACAGCAAACACTCCAAGGTGGGAGGTAGCGCAGTGGGGATTGAGGGGTCACTTCTGCGCCCAAGTAACATGGAGGCTGGGGGGGACTCTGACCTGGCTCCGGTGTTCACAGGCCCCTCTGGCGGTGTGTAGGGGGCAGATGGTGGAGGACAGGAAGAGGAGGGAGAGCAGGAGGGGGCTGCTGTGAGAGTCTAGATAAGGGGACAACGCCAGGGGCTCTGGGTCAGGCCTCTGCTGGGTGCGGAGGACTGAGCCTTTGGGCCACCCTGGGCAGCCGAAGCTGAGGGATGCAAGTGTTGGGGCATAGGTGGAGGCATCCTTGAGCAGACTTCACACCTGGGAGGTTCAGGTACACACAGACCTCCCCGGCTGCTCAAGGAAGTTGTCGCAGAGGTGGAGCCTCCAGGGAAGTTTTACTTTTTCTAAAATTCTTTTTCTCTTTATAAATATCACCCAGCCGGGCGCGGTGGCTCAAGCCTGTAATCCCAGCACTTTGGGAGGCCAAGGCGGGCAGATCACCGGGTCAAGAGATCGAGACCATCCTGGCCAACATGGTGAAACCCCGTCTCTACTAAAAATACAAAAAATAGCTGGGTGTGGTGGCGCGCACCTGTAGTCCCAGCTACTTGGGAGGCTGAGGCAGGAGAATTGCTTGAACCCGGGAGGTGGAGGTTGCAGTGAGCTGAGATTGTGCTACTGCACTCCAGCCTGGCGCCTGGCAACGGAGCAAGACTCTGTCAATCAATCAATCAATCAATAAACAAATAAATAAAATCACCCATATTAATTGTTTAAAATAACAGAACTTTAAATTTGTGAAAATTCTCAACATAGTGGAAATTCTCAGGGATGCCTGATGTGGAAATAAAGCTCATTCCTACTTTGCCATGTTAGCCCAGTGGCTCGGGCCAGATGCTTTGGGGTGTTCCTTGGGCCCTCTCTCTCCCTCACCCCCACAAACACTCTCTCAGCAAATCCTGTTGGCTCCACCTACAAAAACTTCCCTGACCCTGGTCCAGCCTCCGTCCTTCTCCCAACCTCACCATCCCGGCAGCTTCTTCCCTGCCCTCCCCACTCCCCATCTCAGCCAGAGAGAGCTTGGGACCATCTTGAGTCAGGCCAGGGCCCTCCTGGCTTGCAGCCTTGCCCTGGCAGCACCTAGCTCCAGGTAAATACCAAAGTCTAAGCCAGGTGCGGTGTCTCATGCCTATAATCACAGCACACTGGGAGGCAGAGGCGGGAGGAACACTTGAGGTCAGGAGTTCAAGACCAGCCGTGCCCACGCTCTGGTGTTTCGTAGGTACCTGTTCCTTTGCGGTTGGCCTTCTTGCTGCACAGTGAGCACAGCTGGAGGGCAGGGCAAGTCTGTTTTTTGCACTGTATCCCCAGCAGAGGCCCAGCTGGGTTCCTGGGAGCTCAGAAACCAGTGACTGAATGGATGCTGGCAGCAGAACAGGAAAAGATGCTCTGGGGCCTGAGGCTGGGGCCAGCTTAGCAGAGGCCCAGTGAGGAGACGCGCCAGGCGGAGGGTGTGGGCAAGGCCTGAGCTCTGTCACTTGAGCTTCGTGACTTTGGTGACATTGATGGCAGTATGTGGGGGACTTCTGGGGACAGAGGCAGCCTCCAGGAGTTTGGATGGGGGTGAGGAAGGGGAGGTAGCCAGTGTGTGTACCTACTTCTCCCTTCCACCAGGCTCAGGAGAGGAGAGAAGGCCATAGTAGGGGTGAGGGAGAGGATTGTGTTTTTCCCAGATAGGAGACGCTGATGTCCCTGCACCCAGGCCTCCCTGGCCAGACCCTGATCCCCACTGAGCCCCTCCCCTCACACAGGTCATTGACCACAGCGGCGCCCGCCTTGGTGAGTATGAGGACGTGTCCCGGGTAGAGAAGTACACCATCTCACAAGAAGCCTACGACCAGAGGCAAGGTACGGGCAGGTGTGCATCAAGGGGGGTGTGGCAGCCAGAGGGAGTATGTGCAGGCAGGGGGCAGGCAGGTAGACAGGGCCGCTGCAGGGAGGCCAGTGGTGTGGGCAGCGGGGCCCGGAGGTTGGGGGTATATAAGTGTAAGGCTGGGAGTGGGGGCAGGCGGGGGTCTGGGGTGGGAATGAGGGCTGGGAGGTGTCCGGGCGTGGGCAGTCAGACATGGTGGGTGGAGGACCGGGAAAGTGGAGGTGTTGAGGGGTAGGTGTGGGACTGGGTGTTGGAGCAGTCGTGGTCAGATAGGAACATGTGGAGGGTGGGACAGGTAGATGTGAGTGGATAGTGGCAGTCAGTGAGGGCGCCTGGGATGGATCAGAGTGTTGGGAATCTGGGGGCCTCAGCAGGGGAGGAGGGCGGAGGAGGAAGGTGGCTGTGGCTGAAGGGGTGAGAGCATGGGTCCTGTGGCAAGGTGGGGGGTGCCAGCTGTACCCCTTCCGTTTCTGGGTTGTGAGGGGGCCCCTGGAGTCCTAGGAGAGGCTGAGACTGAGAGGGAGACCTGGGGCTTGGGTGACAGCCTGTTGTCACCTGGAAGACAGAGTTTCTCTATGAATGGGCCCCTCATGGGTGGAGCGTCATCATGTTAGGCCAGAGGCCCGGCCGACACCCCAACTGACCCCAGTCCCCTCCGCACACAGACACGGTTCGCTCCTTCCTGAAGCGCAGCAAGCTCGGCAGGTACAACGAGGAGGAGCGGGCGCAGCAGGAGGCTGAGGCCGCCCAGCGCCTCGCTGAGGAGAAGGCCCAGGCCAGCTCCATCCCGGTGGGCAGCCGCTGTGAGGTGCGGGCGGCGGGGCAGTCCCCTCGCCGGGGCACCATCATGTATGTAGGTGCGTGGCAAGGCCGGAAGGAACTCTGTGCATGCGCAGGAGTCTCACGCTCTGCCTTGGGGTGCTGGGTGAGGGGCTTGAAACTATCAATCTCTGGAGTAAGTGGACCCATCTGCCGACACTGACCTCCAGAATGTTTGTGGAGTGGTGGGAAGTGGGAGGCACAGCTGGAGTGATCTGTCTGGTGAGGGAGGAGACAGGCCAGTCTTGCAAACGCAGGGCACAGTGTCAGTCGCTGCGGGGAAACGGGGTGACCAGGAGTGAGGGGAACGCAGTGGGCTGTGAGCCCAGAGGAAGCACCTGGGGGCTGGGAGCATCTGAAGGAAAGGGGGCAGCAGCCAGGAGAAAAGGGAGGAAGAGTTCCCGGGAGTAGCCGGTGCAGGTGAGCAGGAGGCCCATCGGGGAAGGGGAGCCGGAGGAGAGGAGAGAAGTGAGGTCAGGGCATGGGCAGGGGGGCGTCACAGTGGAAAGCAGTGTGGATTTTTTTAAAAAGAGCAGGCCGGGCATGATGGCTCACTCCTGTAATCTCAGCACTGTGGGAGGACGAGGTGAGAGGCTTGCTTGACCCCGGAGTTGGAGGTTACAGTAAGCTATGATTGCGTCGTCATTGCACCCCAGTCTGGGCACCAGAGAAAGACCCTGTCTCAAAAAAAACAAGGCTGGATGCAGTGGCTCACACCTGTAATTCTAGCACTTTGGGAGGCTGAGACAGGAGGATCACTTGAACCCAGGAGTTTGGGACCAGCCTGGGCAACATAGTGAGACCCCCATCTGTAACAACAAAAAAAAAATGCCACAAAACTTTAGTCAAGTGTGACAGTGAGCACCTATAGGTGCCCTAGCTACTTGGGAGGCTGAGGTGGAGGATGGCTTGAGCCCAGGGGGTGAGGCTGCAGTGAGCTATGATCACACCCCTGCACTGCAGCCTGGGTGACAGAACAAGACCCTGTCTCAAAAAATAAATAAATGAATGAATAAATAAAAAGGATTCAGGGGTTACGTGTGTATTTTTCGTGAGTGTTGCATGCTGATGGGGGGGGACTGGGCTTCTAGCATGTCCATGACCCAAATTGTGAGCATTGTACCCAACAGAGAATTTTTCAAACCTCACCACCCTCCCTGCTTCTGGCATCCCCACTGTCTGCTATTTCCATCTTTATGCCCGTGTGTACCCATCCGCCAGTCATCTGCAGCCACTAATTTACATTCTGTCTCTAATTTGACGATTCTGGATGTTTCATAGGAATAGGATCATGCAATCTGTGGCCTTTTGTGACTGGCCACTTCCACTGAGCAGAAACGTTTTCAAGTTTCATTCATGTCGTGCGTGTGTCAGTACCGCACTGTTGCTGGATAGTACTGCATTGTACACATATGCCCCATGTTACTCATTCCATCATCATTTAGTGGACGTTAGGGTCATTTCTACTTTTGTTTTTTCCTAATTTGAAACAGGGTCTGGCTGTTGCCCAGGCTGGAATGCAGTGGCGCAGTCTCAGCCACTTCAGCTTTCACCTCCTGGGCTCAAGCCATCCTCCCACCTCAGCCTCCTGAGTAGCTGGGACTACAGGCATTCATCACCCTGGCTGAAGTTTTGCAGTTTTTTTTTAGAGATGGGGTTTTGTCATGTGGCCCAGGCTGGTCTCAAACTCCTCCTGCTCAAGTGATCTTCCCACCTCAGCCCCCCAAAATGCTGGGATTACAGGCTAAGCCACCATGCTTGGCCTGAACATTCTTGTATGAATTTCTCAGCTCACTGCAACCTCCGCCTCCCGGGTTCAAGGGATTCTCCCAAGTAGCTGGGACTACAGGCGTGCGCCACCACACCCAGCTAATTTTTTGTATTTTCAGTAGAGACAGGGTTTCACTGTGTTAGCCAGGATGGTCTTGATCTCCTGACCTCATGATCCTCCCACCTTGGCCTCCCAAAGTGCTGGGATTACAGGCATGAGCCATGCTGCCCAGTCAGTATGTGGTGTTTTGAGAAGGGTGTGTGCATATTCTTTGGCCATGATCATGGCTCACCACAGCTTCAGCTTCCTGTTGCCCACTTTTTAATGGGATTATTTTCCCCCTTTTTTTTTATCTTTGGTATTGAGTTCTTGGACTTCCTTATATATTCCTCTGCCTGCTTTTTCACTGGGATGCTGTCTTTGATTGCTGAATTGTGTGTTAGTTTGCTAACAAAGTACCACTCACTGGGCGACGTAAACAAAAGCAATTTATTTCTCACAGTAATGGAGGCTGGAAGTTTAAGATAAAGCAGATTTGATTTATTCGGAAGCCTCTCTCTCTGGCAGTGCAGCAGTGCCATCCCCGTGGGTTTTTACAAAGACCTCACTGGCTGGTGTCTTCACTCAGGGAATGGAGGACGGGGTGGGAGTAGGGACAGCAGTGAAGTGACTGACATATTAGTCTGGGCAGGAGATGGAGGTGGTCCTAGTGGTAGCAGTGGAGGTAGCAAGAATTGGTTTTCACCAAGACTTTCACAGGCTTTTACTCAGTGGGCAGGCACAGATCCAGGGTGATCCTGAAATTTCATGGGGATTTCTTCTATGTCCAGCAGTTTCATGGGGATTTCTATTCTGTGGGCAGGTCTCACAGATTTCAAGCCTGGCTACTGGATTGGCGTCCGCTATGATGAGCCACTGGGGAAAAACGATGGCAGGTAACAAGCATTCCCACTCAGGTTGTCTGTGCTGTGTCTGTGTGTAAGTCCATGCATGCTGTTGGCTGCGCTGCCCATGCCAGCACATGGAGTGGAGCCATGTGAGGGTCCTCTGACCACTCCCACCCCCATCCTGCCCTGCAGTGTGAATGGGAAACGCTACTTCGAATGCCAGGCCAAGTACGGCGCCTTTGTCAAGCCAGCAGTCGTGACGGTGGGGGACTTCCCGGAGGAGGACTACGGGTTGGATGAGATGTGACACCCCAGGAATTGCCCTGCTCCGGCTCCTAACTTAGCCACTCACTGCCCCTCCTGTGTGTGCCCATGGCCCTCTTCTCCTAACCCCATTTTAATTTTATTCATTTCTTCTCTGCCATTGATTTTTGAGACTCATGCATTAAATTCACTAGAAACCCGGAAAATATTTGGAGGACTTGATGATTTGGAGACCCACTGGATTGCTGGGTAAAATAGTGGCCCGTAAGTATCAAGGGCCAGCCTCCATCTCCTTATATGTTGCTGCTCCTCCATCTTCTTATCATTCCCACCTCATCTGCTATAGCTACCAGGAAGAAGGGGAAGGGAGAGGATATTTTTTGCCTTTAAAAACTATGTACGAGGTTGGATGCGGTGGCTCACACCTGTAATCCTAGCACTTTGGGAGGCCAAGGCAGGTGGATCATGAGGTCAAGAGATCGAGACCATCCTGGCCAACATGGTGAAACCCCGTCTCTACTAAAAATACAAAAAAATTAGCTGGGCATGGTGGCGCGGGCCTGTAGTCCTAGCTACTGGGGAGGCTGAGGCAGGAAAATTGCTTGAATCCGAGAGGCGGAGGTTGCAGTGAGCCGAGGTCACACCACTGCACTCCAGCCTGGTGACAGAGTGAGACTCTGTCTCACAAAAAAAAAAACTGTACGAGCTTTGCGCAGTGGCAGTATCGTAGCCAATGAGGTTTATCCGAGGCGCGATTATTGCTATTGAGAAAAAAGTTTAAAAAATTTTTTAAATTAAAAAAAAAAACTATGGCCGGGCATGGTGGCTCACGCGTGTAATCCCAGCACTTTGGGAGGCCGAGGCGGACGGATCACCTGAGATCAGGAGGTCAAGACCAGCCTGACCAAAACGGAGAAACACCGTCTCTACTAAAAATACAAAATTAGCTGGGTGTTATGGCATGTGCCTATAATCTCAGCTACTCTGGAGGCTGAGGCAGGAGAATCGCTTGAATCCAAGAGGCGGAAGTTGCTGTGAGCTGAGATTGTGCCATTGCACTCCAGCCTGGGCAACAGAGCAAGACCCTATCTCAAAAACAAACAAACAAACAAACAAAAAAAACTATGTACAACTCAGCCAGGCATGGTGGCTCATGCCTGTAATCCCAGCACTTTGGGAGGCTGAGCTGGTGGATTGCTTGAGCCCAGGAGTTTGAGACCAGCCTGGGCAACATGGTGAAACTTGGTCTCTACCAAAAATACAAAAAAGCCAGGTGTGATGGCGCATGTCTGTAGTCCTAGCTATATGGGAGGCTGAGCTGGTGGATTGCTTGAGCCCAGGAGTTTGAGACCAGCCTGGGCAACATGGTGAAACTTGGTCTCTACCAAAAATACAAAAAAGCCAGGTGTGATGGCGCATGTCTGTAGTCCTAGCTATATGGGAGGCTGAGGTTGGAGGATCGCTTCAGCTCAGAGGATGGGAGACTACAGTGAGTTAGGATGGCACCACTGTACTCCAGCCTGGAGAGCAAGACCTGTCTCAAAACCAAAAAAAAGAAAAGAGGCCCTGTGCGGTAGCTCATGCCTATAATCACAGCACTTTTGGAGGCTGAGGCAGGTGGATCATGAGGTCAGGAGCTCAAGACCATCCTGGCCAACATGGTGAAGCCCTGTCTCTATGAAAAATACAAAAATTAGCTGGCTGTGGTGGTGCACGCCTGTAATCCCAACTATTCGGGAGGCTGAGGCAAGAAAATGGCTTGAACCCGGGAGGTGGAGATTGCAGTGAGCTGAGATCATGTCACTGCACTCCAGCCTGGCAACAGAGGGAGACTCCATCTCAAAAAAAGAAAAGAAAAATAAAAGACCAGGCATGGGGGCTCATGCCCATAATCCCAGCGCTTTGGGAGGCCTAGGAGGGCAGACCATTTACACTCAGGAGTTCAAGACCAGCCTGGGCAACATGGCAAAAACGCTGTCTCTACAAAAAAAAAAAAGGCTGGGTGTTGTGGTGCATACCTGTAGACCCAGCTACTTGGGAGGCTCAGGTGGTAGGATCACCTGAGCCTGGGGAGGTAGAAGCTGCAGTGAGCTCTGTTCACACCACTGCAGTCCAGCCTGGGTGACAGAGTGACACCCTGTCTAAAAAAAAAAAAACGGGGCTGAGGCTTATGCCTGTAATCCTCACTTTGGGAGGCTGAGGCAGGTGGATCATTTGAGGTCACAAGTTCGAGGCCAGCCTAGCCAACAAGGTGAAACCCTGTCTCTACTAAAAATACAAAAATTAGTGGGGCGTGGCAGCTAGCTCCTGCAGTAATCTCAGCCACTCTTGAGGTTGAGGCAGAAGAATCTCTTGAACCTGGGAGGCCGAGGCTGCAGTGAGCCGAGATCGCGCCGCTGCACTCCAGCCTGGGCGACAGAGGGAGACTCCATCTCAAAAAAAAAAAAGTGCCTACACCACAACACTAGCGCGTTGCGTGTCACGTTATTAAAGACTATATACAGTTACTGGGCCGGTTTCCTTTCATCCTCACGGCGGGCCCTGCCCGCACATCTTTCACCGTGCCCGTCCTCACCCCACCTTCCTTGCGCAAAGTTTGGGGTTGGGAGGGAATTCCCAGGGGTTCCCAGGACTTGGGCTCACCTCCCAGGTCCCGGAACCTTAGCGTCCCTAGCCTCGGTAGTGACCGCCCAACTGTCACAAGGGGGCAGCAGCGCACCGTTCGGACGCTGCGCGCCTGGTGCATTATGGGACACGTAGTCTCTAGGGCAGCATACGCGGTAGTTCCAGCTTGGAACGCAAACGGCGTTTTCCAGAAAACTACGCGACCGCCTGTCTGGTCTTGCCCAAAGCTGGAAGCTAAGGTCTCGCCCCTCCAGGCGTTGCGGGGGGATGTTGGGACGTAGGTATTGGCTCCTCCCGGTCTCCTCCCAAGCCTGTTCAAGCACAGGACGTTTCCATTTAAAAAAGGCGCGGGCAGGCCGGGCGCGGTGGCTCACGCCTGTAATCCCAGCACTTTGGGAGGCCGAGGCGGGTGGATCACGAGGTCAAGAGATCGAGACCATCCTGGTCAACATGGTGAAACCCCGTCTCTACTAAAAATACAAAAAATTAGCTGGGCATGGTGGTGCGTGCCTGTAATCCCAGCTACTCAGGAGGCTGAGGCAGGAGAACTGCTTGAACCCAGGAGGCGGAGGTTGCTGTGAGCCGACATCCCTCCATTGCACTTCAGCCTGGGTAACAAGAGCGAAACTCCGTTTCAAAAAAAAGGCGCGGGCATCGGTACAGCAGGCCGAGCATAATCTGAGTCGGGGAACCAGCGTCCCCGGAGAGGCGCCGGACCTGACTTTCTGGCCGCGGTGTACGTCAGGCGATCGAGCTCCTTACTGGCTGGGCCTCTTTCTTGTCCTGCTTTCCTGCATCAGTACACTGGTCGCTTTCCCGGGCTCCCGGTCCCCTCCCAAGCCTGTTCAAGCACAGAGCGTTTCCATTTAAAAAAAGAAAAAATCCCTTTTGCCGGGCGAGGTGTCAGAGCCCCAGGAGTGAAAGTGTTGGTATTAGAATTAATTCCTCTTCGATTGTCCTTTATTCTGTAAACTGCCCCTTCCCGCTGCTGCAACCCACACCTTCTCAAATAGCCAATCGGAATCACCTTAGATTGCGCAACCCCAGCCTTTGAGGGAAAGACCCCTCCTCTCCTTCGTTAGGTGTGCCCTTGCTCTTCCGACTGTTGCAGGCTGGGGCAGCAGCATTCTGGGGAAGTAAAGTTTGCCTTGCATAACTTTTCTCCGGAGTGCTAGTCTCTGCGGCACCGAGAACTTATTTCTAACAATTCGGGGGCTTGTCGGGGATTCCCTTTCTCCTCTGGGGAGAAGTCCCTGATCATCTCGTGAGGAGACCGTCCCACTGCCTTGTTGCGGTGGCCCCAGTTGCACGCGGATCGAGACCTCCCCCAGTGTGAGGAATAAACCTAGACTCTCAGCAACGCGGGCGGAAAGGATCCTCTGGACGAAGGTAAGAAACGTCGCGGGGCGACAAAGTATTCCTTGGTGGTCGGGATATCTTGGAGGTTGAAAGTGTGCGAGTGAGACAGACACATGATTGCGTGCAAGAAATCTCCAGTAAGGGGCCTCTAGGGAAAAGGGAAGGCAAGAAATCTCTGAGACGACGATTGAGCCTCATACCAAACCTCCAAGATGGGCAATGCCCCAAGTAAGGCAGGAAATGGGAGGGATAAAGCTAGTTACAATAATACTCCTCCTGATAGTCTCCTAGGTTTCGTGTTAAATTATTGGAAGGATAGGCCGGGCGCGGTGGCTCACGCCTGTAATCCCAGCACTTTGGGAGGCCGAGGCGGGTGGATCACGAGGTCGAGAGATCAAGACTATCCTGGTCAACATGGTGAAACCCCGTCTCTACTAAAAATACAAAAAATTAGCTGGGCATCGTGGCGCGTGCCTGTAATCCCAGCTACTCGGGAGGCTGAGGCAGGAGAATTGCCTGAACCCAGGAGGCGGAGGTTGCGGTGAGCCGAGATCGGGCCATTGCACTCCAGCCTGGGTAACAAGAGCGAAACTCCATCTCAAAAAAAAAAAAAATTATTGGAAGGATAATGAGAAGACTAAACACAAGAAAAAACAGCAAATAATGAAATATTGTTGTTTTATTTTGCTTGGGAAATGCTTAAATGCCCTCCCCAAAGAAAACTTGAAGGCGAGGTAGAGCAATGTAAAAAGGATATTTAGAACTTCCCCTTCCCGTCTACCTCTAAGGAATCAGCTCCAACTCTCTTCCCCTTAAGAGAAGTGCCCCGGGGAGGAGGAGGGGGCACTGGCTTCGTGAATGCCCCCTTAACCAGCTCAGAAGTTCGAAATTTTAAAAAGGAGCTCAAGCCACTATTAGATGACCCATATGGAGTGGCAGATCAAATTGATCAATTTTTAGGGCCCCAGTTGTATACTTGGGCCGAGTTCATGTCTCTGTTAGGCATCGTCTTTTCAGGGGAAGAAAGGAGCAGGACCCACAAAGCCGCTATGGTAGTCTGGGAACATGAACACCCTCCTGGCCAAAACATTCCTGCAGCAGACGGAAAATTCTCAGCCCAAAACTCTCAGTGGGATAATAACAGTGCAGCCCACCGAGAAAATATGAAAGATCTCAGAGAAATGATAATTAAAGGAATTCGAGAGTCAGTGGCCCA